TGAGAGAAAGCTTTCATGTTAAGTTGGGCTCAAACAAACGAAGCTGCATTTTAAGACAGGCAGAAATGCAGATTTCAAGGAAGAAGAAATTTAGGATAGAATTTTAGGGCTGAGAACTCTTTCCTTAGAGATATAGACCTTGAAAAAGATTTGAGTGATGTGATGGTTGATCAAGTCAGCATGAACTCTTGCAGTGGGACTTTGCTGACAGGTTCGAAGGTGCTGACAGGATTATTGACTATACAAACAGAAGTGACAGGTAGGGTTGGGGAGATGATGAGATCTCAGTTATGTCTGTTTCTGAAATATTTAGAAAAATAGCCCTATATGCTGAGAGTTGATTTTCTTCACCTTGTGAAAGAGAAAGGCATGATAACTATGTGTCTACTTGAGGATGTGTCTACTTGAGGACCTAAACTTTGGTAACAGGGATTCCTTTAAACTGGTTGAGAGACCAGTTAGACAGTTTAGATGTGGTCTAAAAATCAAAGATAAGTAGGCTCAGACTAGTAGCAGCAGCTAGTTTGGAAAGATTGTGGTGTACTGTCCTTCAGTGAAATGTTTCAAAGTCTAGACAATGTTCTAGAACAGGATGTGACCACTGTAATAGACTGATTCAGTGAGTCAGTCCTATAGGCCGTGTTGTGCTAGTCAGGCACATGGATCCCATCACCTCTCCTGTTCCGTAAGTTCTTGAAGCTGTGGTTCTTGATCTATCTGAACTGTTCCTTAAATAACATCTAGATAATCAGCATTTAACCACTGTTCCAAAGTTGAGTCTACCATGTTGCTGGCCTAAGATGCTAAATTAATGTTCTGGCTACTGCCTTTAAGGTGTGATTGCTTGGTTTTTGTCTAAAGGGCCTGGAAGCCATTTCTGAGGAGTTAAGCTGCAAGAAATTATTGCACTGATTTTTGGTGAAACTTCTTTGTCATCCTCAGTATTGATAGCCTGGAGTGAATATGACTGAATATTTCAGCTATGAGGAAGGTGCAAAGGAGAGCTATTCAATACAAATGCAAAAAAGTATGGATGCTTGACTTCACTACTGTAGATGAAAGACTTTAATCAGATTGTGAGGTTTTAGAGCTTTAGCTGACAGCCTCATGGTCCTGGTTATGAAGTTATTCTATAACAGTGTGTCAGTCAGTAACAAATATAATGAAGTATCCATATCTTGAAGCATAATCTTTTGTTTTCCTGCCCTAGTAAATGGAAATAAATGAAAAATCCATGTCATCTCTAAATATGGGCTCTTTTACAAGTAATGATTTATAGCTTGATAGGATAGTGATAAAATCTGACATTCTGAATTGTGTTACACTTTAGATATTCCAAGAAAATCCAGACTTTTCTGTTACTTTTTCCCATGTGTGAAAACTGATGTTGGCCAGCTTAGTAATTGCATGTAGTTATAGACTAATACAGAGATGAACAGAACCTGTTAGCATGAAATACATCAATATCACACTGTTTGCCTGGTTCACCTTTGCCTCATTTGCTTGTTTTTAGAGCTGTCTTACACTGTCCAGATGTGTTGTGCATGTTGTCACATTTTTTTCTAGCAGTAGCAGTGTGAGAATGAAGGTCACAAAATACTCACCTGAGTGTTGGGAGATCTGTGTTTCTGGCTTTGCTGTAGCAATTCTTTGTAACCTAAGGCAAGGTAGTTAATTTTTAGGTTTTATACAGTCATATAAAAGGGTGTCTTTATTTTGGGGGGATATTACCTTGGGACAGTAGAATATACGGTTGTCCTCTGGCTAAATAGGAAATAAGATCCTGACTGGGGAAAAATATTCAAGCATTTGCTCAGCACACTGTGTGTACTTACACATGTGCTTGAAGGTGCACATAATTTAAGAAGTGCCCTAATGGGATTGTTTTCCAGAGTCGAAGCCCAAGTTAAAGCCTGATAGCTATTCCTGCACCAGCAAGTGGAGTAGCCCAGTAAGAGCAAACTGCAGAGGTGCTGAGATCCGGGTTGCATGCTGGGTGGTGTTGGTGGAGTTACACTGTATCAGCTCTATCCCATGCTTTGAACTGAATCTCTCTGAGGGAAGTCATGCTGCAACTCTGTATTTGTGACATCCTACTCACCACCCGCACCAGGAGGGCATTGACAAACTAGAGAGAGTTCATCTGATGTCACTGAGAGGGTGGTCCCGTGAGGAGGGGCTGGGGGAGCTGAGCTTGTTCAGTCTGGAGCAGAGGTGGCTTTGGGGGAACCTGACAGCAGCCCCCAATACCTACAGAGGAGACAGAGATGGAGCAGGTCTTTTCACAGCACTGCAGAGCAAGAGGGCAAGAGATGATGGCCATGAGTTAAAACAAGAGAGATTCAGCATGGATGTAAGGGGAAATTTTTCTGCATGAGGATAGTCAGGTGATGGTGGCACAGGTTGATCAGAGATGTGGTGCAGTGTCCAACCTTGGGATTTTGACATGACTGGATGAGGCCACATGCAGCCTGACCTTGCTGTGAGCAGGAGGCTGGACCAGAGACCCAGTGATGATCTTCCCAGTCTGAATGATGCTGTGACCCTGTGAATGCCCAGTGTTGTTTGCAGTGTATTAGTGCAAAACACAGTGGAAACAGGCCTGGAAACACTGGCTCCTGAAATGCATTCCTAACTCCAACTCAGTGCCAACGTACATGCTTTTCTTTTTCACTGACAAGGAAGCAAATCCTCTCTCTCTCTGTCCCTTGGGAGGAAAAAAACAAGAGAAGAGAAAAAAAAGCTCTTGACAGCATCTCCTGTTGATTACGTCTCTGTCTTGTTCTTCTCTTGCGCTCCTGATTTCAGTCTCTGCACCTATTAACTTCAGGATCTTTTTGTGTCTTTACTGTGCTTTAGAGACTAAAGTATATTATGCTGTCTGGCATGCTTGTCTTCTGTGTCCTTATGTCAATCTTGTGCTTTCATTGCTGTCTTCTCAGTGCTCTGTTATAAATCCCTTGAGCAGGAACTTTGCTGCTATGTTTGCTTAAGCTTGTAGCTGTAGTTAAGACACTGACTTTTCATACACCATAGAATTTTTCTATCTAAAATTTTCCAGACTGTCCAAGTCAAAAGCTGCTTTATCCTGATTTGTAATATCTGGTATGCTACTTTCCAGCTCTATTCTCTTTCATTTTTTCGGTGGTAAACTTTGGAAAAGATCACAGTTTTAGCAGAAAAATGAGCGAACCCCAGTGGTGACACTGGAGAATGAACAATATGCAACTAAACCACTTAAAGTGGAGAAAGTGAAACACTTAAGTAAATAATTAGAAAACCATAAGTAGAAATGATCAGAAATGAGTACAAATTTGACTTGGAAGAGAAGGAACCGTAATATGGATGACCATGTTATGACTGTGATGATTAGGTCTAATTTGTTGGAGAGGAGACTGCCTATGGACCAGACAGTACTTGGTCCTGGTGACTCCTTTTGCCCCATATGATGCCCTTGTGGCCTTAAACATAATTATTAGGTTTAATTGCTTTTTTTTTTTTTTTTTGTACTTTGACAAAAATGATAAGACAGCTGTGTTGTATTTGGCTAGAGTGGTGGGGTTTCTGTTTGTTTCATGGCATGCATTGAAGGCCCTGGCATCTACCTCTGAGTTTGAGGTGTTTCTATCAGGCAGCTTTGCACACAGCATTGGAGAAGTGTTTTGTTGGGATTTGAAGAGTAAATGTTGACTTACTCAGAAAGGGACTTTTAAAATAAGCTAGCACTTCTGTAGTTTGGGCAGTTGGGAGAACAGAAAATGGCACATACCTGACAAATATCTCAAACCCCGCTGAGCTTAGACACCAATATTGAAAATCTTGGCAGCTCTATTCTCCTTTTCCAGGTCTGCAGTCAAACACTGCTTTTCCAAAAACTTTGTGTGGTACCTACTAATATGTTTTGTCAGCATCATTGTGATGAAATGGCACCAGCTGAAGCTGTAGGTTTCTCATTACTCCTATGACTGAGCTGAAATGTGACTGCTCTTCAGCTCTCTGTGCTGAAGTGTTGCTCCTGGACTGATGTTAATGTGGACTTGACTTTAAATGTGCTGATGCTAGGAATGGTCTGTATTGCTCAAAGAAACTGAGTTGTATTCTAGAACATTTTTATACTAGCATAAAAAAGCTTCAATGCCAATGTCATCAGCACCACTATGACAAAAGAAAAAGGAGTGGTGTGCTTTTTCTAGAGGACGTGTGCTGTCACCTGTATTTCTGTCCTTTCCTTGTGAAATCAACAATTTAAAGGATGTTCAATTGCAAGGACATGACAGAATCTAAATTGGAGATAATAATTCAGTTGGTTTAAAATTAAAGAAGCAGCAATAAATGTCATCTGAATTAAATATCTTGGCCACTTCTGTATGCTCACCGATCTGACAGGCAGCTTTGAATGAGTTTTATCACTGAATTTTAGCACATTTTCCAATAGCAGAATCTCTTTGGTAGAGGCAACTTTATGTTATGGTTTCTGATTTGATGCAGTTACTAAGCAAACAGTGTTGTATGGTGTTTGTTAGTAATGGAGGTAGGAAAGGGAGAAGATGTTTTAGTTTTCACTCTCTAGTTGCTTTAGCAATTCTGAAGTTTACAAATTTGCATTTTAGTTTGTTAAATGGATTTGATTTCATATTAAACTTCTGAGAAATAAGGAAATTTGGATCTCTTGGTGCCGTTTTAACTACCTTATTTTACAGACAAATACTTTGTTAAATTACTTAACTGCATTATTCGTTTAAGAGTAGCAAGTCTTGATAAAGACAAAATATGAGTTTGAATCATTCTTGTAGTTTAAAGTTTCCTTTAAGAGCAAGAACAATGAATAACATCTCAATCAGATTTATTGTTTTGCATCAGTTACATATAGGGCGAATACCACCAGTCTAGCATGTATGCATTGAAAATATCTAGGCAGCTCAATTTTAATCTTAAACTATTAAAAGAGAAAAACAAAACACAAGAATTTGCTTTAAAACTATGCATCTTGTTTGTTTCAGGAGAAGAGACTGAAAGAAAAAGCAGCAAGGAGAGAAGCCAGGAATAAGAATGCACAGGTAAGGCTTTTTGTTGTTCAATCAAGCTACTGGTTGTGGCTGTGAAACAGTTTTATAATTATTTTATTCTTTTCTTTAATAAGCAATGTTGTGATTAATGACTCTTTAAAGGCATTTTCTGTTTGCTTGTCTTTTCTTACTCCCTTGCTCTGATGTGGTCATAATAACTTGCTGTGGAAGGATACTAAGGATATGTGGGGGGGTGTGTATATGTGTTTGTGTGTATAAATACATAAAATGTGTGGAAGCCTTTTGGAATTTCAGCCTCTCTATTCTGTATATCAAGTTAGTTGCAATTTAAGCTGCAGTGCTGATCCCATTTTTTTTTCTCTGAATACTTTGGTACTTGTAGGAAGTAAGATTATTTTTTTTGGAGTCAAATCTCACTTAAACCTGTTACTGCTGAATCTTTTATTTAAACATCAAATATGTACATTGAAGTTTATTCCTTCCCCTTGTTAGACTCACAAATAAAACATTTGCTATCCTTTTCTTCACGTTTCTAATTTCCTAGAGACTGTTCTGTTCTACATTTTCGTATTACTTGGTTTGCTTTTCTTCACGTTTCTAATTTCCTAGAGGCTGTTCTGTTCTACATTTTTGTATTACTTGGTTTGTGATAAACTGGGATTTCATTCAGATGCAATGATTTCCCAGAATACAGAGAGAGTAACGTGTGTCATTTCTCATGCTGCATCTCCTTATGCTACGCATGAATAGTTACAGTTTGTTCTTGACAGTTAGCAAATATCTTACTCTTTTCAGAAAATCAATAATGTTCTTTGTCCGATTTTTGCAAGCTGGCTGTGCTCTGGGAGACTTAAGTATAGGAAGATGCTTCATTGTGTAGCTCTGAAGTGGAAAGTAATTACAGTTTAAGATGAAAAGCCTAGTTATACTAAGTTTTAAGTATGAGTCTGTCTTCAAAGACAGCAAGCTATGAGAGCTGTTGGCATCATGACTCCCCAATCAAGCAATAGAAATTTTCTGCCTGTAATTGAATGTGTAGAGATGCATACTTTTCAATGTATTGAGCAAGCCTTTTAGGAAGATTATGGAATGAATAATTAACAACATCTTAATATAGGGAGAAAACATTGATCAAATCAGGCTGTATCACATTCATAAATGCTGCTTGTTAATTTTGCCTCTTTTTAAGGAATAAAAAAATCCCCAATGTCATGTTATTCAGCAGCTGTAGAAAGAAACCAGTTTCTTTCAAAAGGATCTGCTTGCTGATGTACTTCTCTTATCCTGTTTTTTGCCAAGCAAATGAAACTCTGTCCTGCTGGAAAATGGAGTATTGAGAAATGATCTGTCTATGTGTGGGATTGTGTCCATGAGTACAGTATGGTTTAAATGCAGAGCCTCATGGCCAAAACTGCGTAAGAGAAAAATTTGATGCACCTCTGCCTCTCTTCTGTGTAACAGTTGCACTTGGAAAGCTGACTTACTAGTCCTGGTCTAGTGCAAGGTTGGCATATGCTTTCAATGAGAGTACCAGCTGTGCAAACCTGCTGTTACTTTGACTTAATTGTATTTCTGAAGCACTGAGCTCACTCTCTGCAAGAAGTTGCAAGGCTCAGGAGTTGACATGTCTCCTTGATGAAAACTATTGGGCTTTTTCTCTTGTTTAGAGGCTATTTTTGCCAGACCTGTGTGCAGCCCAGTCCTGTCATTTTCAGAGGGCCTTGTTTCAGGGAAAATGTCTCCACTGGGAAAGGCTGCCAGCTTGGACCTGGGCCGTTCATGCCTGGAAGTGGAAGGGAACAGTGGATGTTAGATAAAGGTGCCAGTTTCCGTCTGCTGGGTGTCTGAGGAATTAATTAAGAACACTCCCTGCTTCACAGAATCTTAGAGATGAAGCCACAGTAGCTGAAGCTATCCGCAGTCCGTGTGGAATATGAATCAAGCAGCTCCTATGAGATACCTTGGGAAAGAGAAAAGAAGCAAAACACAGAAACTATTGGAACAGAAACCAGTTTAGAAAATATATGCTGTCTAAATGAGGAGTTCAAAAATTTTAACATTTTCACTACTTCTTTCATAAAATGGCTTGTGACCCACTTACTCTGCCACACACAACTCCTTTGGCAATTAGTAGTGTTTTCTTAAGGAGAAACCAAAAAAGCAGAAAAGGTATTTTTAGCCATATTAACGCAGTTTAGCAGCTGGAGAAAAGGGCTAGATCAACGATTATGCACAGGCAGTCACTTCAAAGCAGCTGTGGTCATCAGTTGTTGTTCCACATCTATCTGTCTATCTGCTTTATTCCCCTTGTTTGTTTCACTAACTGTCTCTTGCAGGTTACAAAGTATTGCTTATTATCTTTTACTAGTACACAGCCCACCTGGTCTGACATGACCAAACCAGCAATTTACTTTCCCATACTTAATATTAAATAATAATTCTTTAGTTATGACTTTCGCATCTCTGCTTTAGTGTAACTCTTGTTGGCCTGTTGTTGGTTGTGCCCTGTTGTTGTCTGGACAGGGCCTGACACGTTATTCTGAATGTATGCTGGGCTTTTGTCACTGTGAAAAGGGAATTTATTTGGAACAAAAACTTAATGTTTTGCAGTTTACTTATTTTCACCATTAAAATCATACATTTGTGAGATTTAAACTTAGTCTTTAATCTTAGATTCTTGGATTGTGATACTTTTAGCTTTAGGATTTCTCTGTCCTGTACATGTTCATCCCTTTCCTGTGCCAGGACTCTTGACTTCTTGACATTTTTTAGTTACCCTGACAATAATTTTTTAACTCATGACCTGTTTTATACTATTGCATTGTTTTGGGTGTTTGGAGAGTATTTCCATGTAAAATTGTTGGGTTTTTTTCTTTCATTTCCATATTTTCATGCCTCGCTTGGGTGCAGTTTTTTGTCTGTGTGTCAACAAGAAAGAAAAATCACAGGAGAAGGACCTCCTGCCTTTTCTTCTGCAGTAGCAATTGCAGAGAAGGTTTTGCTCAGTCTTCGCTGCACTGGGACAGGGTAGGCTCACTGCAGCTGGAATCGAATAACCAAATTCTGGCACACTCTGCTGAATGTGCTTGAGCAGGAGATTAGATGACTAGGTAGCTGCAGTGTTATTGACTCCACCTTGGATAAATCTCCATGCAATAAATAACTGGGTAAGAAGTGAAGGCTCTTAAAGGATGCTTTGGAGAAAGTGTTTCTTGGGATTTATAACCATTAATTAAATTTTCACAGAATCACATTCTGTGATTCTGTAATTCTGTGATTTCCTGGGATTTATGACCATTAATTAAATTTTAGTGCTAACGGCTGTGAAAACAGTTAAAAGGAGGTTTCTCATGTATTCCTACTGAAGAAAATCTGGAAATTCAGTTATTTTGGAAATTTTTTTAATCATAAGATATTTGTCTCCCATTTTTGGAGAATCTGATGAGATATTTACAAATGCAGTGTTTCAAGATGAAAAAAGGACATATTTTATCCGCACTCAGTCCTGAAAAATTTCAGTCCTCAAGCCCTCAAACAATTTTCAATACTGTTTGCTTGAAGATTAGCCTAGAGAAAATTAGGCAACCATGTTGTGTGTTGGCCAGGAAGTGAAGCTTTGAGCAGAAGCAGCAGCGACATGGACAGCTGCTCCAGGGCAGGAGCTGGCTGTTACTCGCTGAAGCCAGACCCTGGCCACAAGCAGGACATCTTTGCAGTATGTGGTGCTGCACTCTTGGCTTTGCACTTCTTCTTCTAGTACTTTCTCACATACTGATTTCTTGGTCTGCATAAAGGACTTTTAGGTTCCAACCAGCATTTAAAGGTCCTTGCCCTGCAAGCAGCTGTTATCTGAAATGAAACTAAACAAGACTGTATTTCTTCTTTAGTGAGTTTAATGTTTTGTTCTCCTGATGCCTTAGAGCACTGCTGAGGTGTTGAGAAATATGAAGTGAGGAGGAGGCTCTTGGTTTCTTTTATAGAAAAATGTTTTTGTAGGAAAGGAAGGTGTTGAGAAATATGAAGTGAGGAGGAAGCTCTTGGTTTCTTTTACAGAAAAATGTTTTTGTAGGAAAGGAGTTTTCTGGGAGCAGCTAAGCAGGTCTGTGGTTCAAGGTGGGAGAGCAGAGCAGGAGTTGGGAGAAGGTGGTATTCCCTGCCCCAGCACTGATGTGCTTTGTGATCCTCAGCTATCAGCTCCCAGCATCATGCAAGGAGTGATAACTAGCCTCTAAAAGAAGGCATTGATATCTGCTAGAAATAGTTCAGATAAGCAGTGCCAGATCATCAAACTTGCTCAGTCATGACAGTTTGGTGCATTGGTAATCTTATAGCAGTTACACCCTTGCTGGTGTCCAGAGCAAACCAGAACAACCTGAGAAAGGGCTGACTAGCAGACCAGAGGCTGTTTATCCAAAGTCCATAAGAAAAATGTAGCCTGCTGAAAACTTAGGGAAATCCAGCTTGAATGCATACTCCTTTCTGAGAAGGTTTTTCTGTTTTTGTTGGATGAAGTTGAGGATGGGGATTTTTATCAGGCCAGAAAACTGTCTTCTAGAAGAGATGCTTGGTTGTCAAGGACACCTTTTCATAGGAATGAATTCTTGCTGAATAATTGTAGAGCATTAAATGATCAACAGCAGGATAAGTAGTATGCTTTAGCTTTCTTCATGTCCTCCATTTCTCTCCTCTTCTCTCCTAATGTATTTTGCTATTCCCACAGGAATTCCTACTTATGCATGAGATTTTACAAAATATATACTTTGTATATATAATTTAAGATTTTCAGAGTCACAGTGAAGGTAGGAATCTTTCTCCTGTAATGAAAGGATTTATGTGAGTACATCCACAAAATACATGTGTGTGAGCAGCAGGCACATATTAAAGATATGACAGATTCAGGCATTAATGCCTGCCTATATCATACCACTGCAAGCTATAATCCTCAATATAGCATTCTGTTTTCTGCACCTTGTGCCATGCTCTGTTGAGATTTTAACCAGAAAAATACTTAAACCCACCATTTTCATTTG